TTGCTAAAAGCGGCGTAAAACCATACTCACTCATCAGCGAATAGAAGCCCATTTCTGGTGTCCCCCGCCTTGATATTGCTGGAATATTGCTAAAAGCGGCGTAAAACCATACTCACTCATCAGCGAATAGAAGCCCATTTCTGGTGTCCCCCGCCTTGATATTGCTCGAATATTGCTAAAAGCGGCGTAAAACCATACTCACTCATCAGCGAATAGAAGCCCATTTCTGGTGTCCCCCGCCTTGATATTGCTGGAATATTGCTAAAAGCGGCGTAAAACCATACTCGTTCATCTGCGAATAGAAGCCCATTTCTGGTGTCCCCCGCCTTGATATTGCTGGAATATTGCTAAAAGCAGCGTAAAACCATACTCACTCATCAGCGAATAGAAGCCCATTTCTGGTGTCCCCCGCCTTGATATTGCTGGAATATTGCTAAAAGCGGCGTAAAACCATACTCACTCATCAGCGAATAGAAGCCCATTTCTGGTGTCCCCCGCCTTGATATTGCTGGAATATTGCTAAAAGCGGCGTAAAACCATACTCACTCATCAGCGAATAGAAGCCCATTTCTGGTGTCCCCCGCCTTGATATGTCTGGAATATTGCTAAAAGCGGCGTAAAACCATACTCACTCATCAGCGAATAGAAGCCCAGTTCTGGTGTCCCCCGCCTTGATATGTCTGGAATATTGCTAAAAGCAGCGTAAAACCATACTCACTCATCAGCGAATAGAAGCCCAGTTCTGGTGTCCCCCGCCTTGATATGTCTGGAATATTGCTAAAAGCGGCGTAAAACCATACTCACTCATCAGCGAATAGAAGCCCAGTTCTGGTGTCCCCCGCCTTGATATGGTGTATTTGATTTTTGGCTCAGCAATCGCAACCAATAAGTGATTATTCTCTTATATTGAAAACCTTCACAGAAAATCTCCCAACCTCCCCTCTCGCAGTATTATTCGGGGGTTTGACGTTTAAGACCCAATGCTAATCTACAAAACCTGTCATGAATTATATCAATGGGGATGGGTGGAAACCACATACCTCAGATCCATATAATGAAATTGGCATGATTTTAATATCAAAGATATGAAGCTGTATACTTATAAAAAGTTTTTTAAACATAAAAGATTTACATTGCAATATTTGGATAACTTTCCAAGCTTGTTGCGCATGACGTAGCTGAGGAAAAATTACACCCAGATGTTTATAGCAAGATATAAAACCGCAAAGGTCCACCAGTTCTAAAAACAAAGATTTTACTTTTATTAATGTTAACCTTCAATTTCCATTTGTAACAATGAATAACAAATTTATCTAAACGCTTTTGTAGGCCAACTGGTGTGAAATCAAAAATGACAATATCGTCAGCAAACAGCAATAGAAACAACTCCAATTGGTCCATGGGTAATTCCTGTTTGTCCATCAGAACTCAAAAAGTCTACAATATTATTGATATAAAAAAAAGGAAAAAAAAGAGGTGACATTTGACATCCCTGCCTCAATCCATATTTACATATAAGTATGTATATCCAGCATCCATTGAAATACAAGCTTTAATGTGTTCGTACATATCTTCTGTTAACCTATACAGTCTACGTTTAACCCCACCATGCCAAAGTTTACACAATAAACCATTTCTGTAAACTGAGTCAAATGCAGCCTTCAAATCTAAACTAAGCGGCAAAAGAAAGTATAGGTTGGCAATTTGTAATTTTCCTAAAAACAGCGATAACTAGTGGAAAGTGGGTATTGGGAGTATGACTGCCCAGGAACAGGTACCAAAAAACATCTTACCCGAACGCGCCACCTTTGACGGCGCTCGTACGGTGACAAAAAAAATGTTGAACAGGTTTCCCGCCTATGGCATAAACTGCACGTGCATGTTAGTTGTAAAATGCGTTCGTCTGCAGAGTATAACCACACGTGATGAAAGCACACAAAAGAAATGCCACGACTGTCACAGGAGCAGAGCGAGAGAGCCATCGGTATGGCCGAAATGGGGGCAACACAGGTCCAAATTGCCAGAAGGTTTGGTTGTACACCATTGACAGTAGCCAGGCTGATTCAACGGTACAGGCAGACAGGGACGACACAGGGCAGGCCTAGAACCGGACGATCCCGAGTGACAACACCACTGGAAGACGGTCAGATACGGCTCATTCACCTGCGAAACAGATTCGTATCGGCGACGGCGACGGCAGCAACAGCGTTGGGACATCCCATTAGCCAACGTACAGTACTACGACGACTTCGTGCTGCTGGAATCCGAGCGTATCGTCCTTTCCGAGGAATGGTACTGACTGCTCAACATCGACGCCTAAGACTGCGATGGGCGAGGCAGGTTCGACGCTGGTAAGTGAGAAATTGGCGTCGAGTGATATTTACTGATGAAAGTCTGTTTAACCTGTTTCGAAATGACGGCAGAGATCGAGTTTATCGACGCAGAGGGGAACGTTTGGCTCCGGCGTGTATTCGAGCGGTCCATGCATCCATTTGGCGGGGGAGGTGTCATGGTGTGGGCGGTATTTGTGGCAATCAGAAGACTGATTTGGTGATTATACAGTGAAACCTGAACGCTGTGCAGTACAGGGACCAAGTGTTGCAGCCATGGCCAGTTGTGCTTCCGTTCTTACAAAACCAACAGCAGGGGATATTGTTTCAACACGACAATGCCAGGCCCCATACTGCAAGACTGACTCGGAACTTTCTAAACCAGCAGAACGTTGACGTTTTGCCCTGGCCTGCCAACTCACCCGATATGAATCCTATTGAACATCTGTGGGACCATCTTGACAGACAGATTAGAGCACGCCATCAGCCTCCCGTCATCAGAAGACTGACGTCATCGATGAGGCGGTGCATCACAGCATGCATTGAGGCAGCTGGAGGTCATACACGCTATTGAAGGCAACTGTGTCGACAATGAACTTATATTGTGTCTGACAATTTTTTGAAAATGAAATTTCTTACCCCACCATTATTGACCTTGAGCTTACATTACCTGTGATTGCACAATTTCATTCAAACTGTGGTTGATCAATCATTTGTTACCCCTCCCTAGATTATATTATAATTCCAAACAAAACCTCTTCTTGTTATTTTTTTATCGATCATGGAACTCGACCTATACTTTCTTTTGCCGCCGAGTTTATAAATGCACAACAGAAACGACCACGTTTCTGAGACAAATATTTTTGTATTATAGTATTCGAAATATGTATATCATCTGATGTCTGAAACCCTTTCTGAAAACCCGCCTGTTCCTTTATTATTTTATCCGCAATATCAGCCCATGATGTTAATCTAGAGCAGATAAGTTTTGCAAATATTTTCCTTGCAACTTCCAGTTATGTGATAGGTCTATAGTTTCCCGGATCATTGGAGCGTCCTTTCTTCTAAATAGTCAAGATAACACCATGTGTGAACTGGTCGGGATAAATTCCCGTCCGCAAGACAATTACATTATATAATTTATAATAACATTTCGATATAGGGTGGGGGTATATTTTTGAAAAATTCAATTGGCAAACCACAATATCCAGGTGATTTTCCAGATTCATATCATGGATGTCATAAATGTACATTCATCAACCGAATTATTAATACGTTCCTCGGATAATGAATTTACAAAGTCTATCGTCGATAGTTGTATAGAAATCAATATAGTCATCAATATAACCCATGCCTCCAATCAAAGTCTCAAAGTGACATATCCTGTCCTTGGGTGGGATTCAGTTTATTTTATGGTATGGTGTACACGATAGGAGCAACCATGCAGAACTGTTTACTGTCGTGTCCCCAGAAGGCTACTTTTAATTTATCAACAAACATAATAAATGCATCATCCATATATAAGTCTTGATAATATTTTCGAGCTGATGTGTAATTGTTGTCTGACAAATTTCCTGTTACTGGAATGGAATGCACGAAGCCGTCGACGAGTGATTGCACGTGCGTCCCGACATTCCTGGTCATACCAGTTGCCTCCCCTTAATCTATTGTTGTTCGCACGAGTTGTGAGAATCCTGCCGCAGGGGCTTGCACAATTTGTCATCATGTTTGTAAACGTTGAAGCCGCGTTATCAATGTTTTGCAGAGTCAGTTGGAAATAGAAATCCTGTAGAAATGAAGCAGGTGGATGAAATAGAAACCCTGTAGAAATGAAGCAGGTGGATGAAATAGAAATCCTGTAGAAATGAAGCAGGTGGATGAAATAGAAATCCTGTAGAAATGAAGCAGGTGGATTAGTCCATTTAGTAGTGTATTCGTCTTTGAAGCCATCTTTCCATATGTATCGTTGTTTTACAGTGACAGATGTTCATATGTATTAGTATATGTACCATTTCTTTGGTTAGAAGCAACTGGCAAATGTAAAGATTCTACTTGATCACAGACTGTAAACGATGTGAAGCACGCACAGGAATGTTCTGTAGCCAAAACGTAGTCGACTACACTCTAACCGTCGTTAGAGCTCTATACATGTTATCTTTCCACGTCCTACGTCGTCACCAAGCCTAGCTACCATTGCAGATTCTCAAACCAGTTGTTGCATGAATCTGGCTGAAATGTCAAGAAATTGGACTACAGGTATACTGTATATTAAATATTTATTTTAGTAAGTAGGAAATTAATAGTAATTTTATCGATTTTCCATGTATATCTCCCTGCATGGTCCCTTCTCTGTCGACAGCCGACATCACAAGAACGCATTAATGCACGAATAAAGCATATAGAATCGTTCTTAACGATCGTTATTAAATAAAGAGGTGCCGTTTTCGCCAAATGAAGTACCGTTTTCGCCCGAGAAATCGGTGGTGTTTTGCCGTCTAAATGTCTCTCACAGAAGTTAGATAAGGGTGTTTCGTACTTGTATATTTCAAAACGGGGGTTGAAACCCATGACACACACACACACATCCGCACATAAAATCTCTGTCAATGCATCTGGGTGTGAATTAAGATTTGACTGGAGGCAAGTAGGTGTAACAATTTGGGAGTTAAGTCCCTTTGGGTGGGAATACGGAAGTAAGGCACGTGAGCGAAAAAATAGAGGAAAGGAAAACTGTTAGGGAAGTACCTAATGTACTGGCCAAGGATTTGAAAGAACCCAATTGCGCTAACAAGCGGCGATGTTAAGTTTGTCGAAAGCCTTTCATCTTGACAATTCTGCTTTTCCTAACAGGCTTGTCATCTCTCGCTCGTCCAAGTCTCCTGCCTGTTTGATTGCCCTCACATTCATATGCATCATTTCAACCTACGAGAGCGTGAATGGAGATGTGCCAAGCGACACGGGAAATGCAACACTGTCGTTAGTGCAGATTGTAAGTTGAAATAAATAGGTAAATCATTGACAACGCGGTACTGGGATAACGGGAGCCCTAATTCTAGATAATCTATGGCTCATTGATCAGACAGAATACATGTTCGGTATCCCCTCCCCTATCCCACAGCACGTGGGATATTTCTGCTGGAAGACCTATGATCCTCATTTGGGAGGTTAGTACAGCTATGCTAAGATGATAACACTTTAAGTTTTTCATTTATAATATTACATGGTCTCTGACAAAACGAGCTAAACATTCAAATCGAAACAAACATTTACGTGAAAATTATAAAATATAATTGTCTACTGGCTCACAACTACTTAGAGTATTGGCTTTTCACCATTTTATTTCTGATGTATTCGGACATTAGGGTTAAGTATAATACTACAAACTTTGATGCGCTCATGTCAGTCAATTTCTGTTCTAGGCCTTCTGTTAATAGTAGTTTTACTGCCATCATTTACGTATCATGGCCTACGGTCCGTGCGACCTATATAACAAGTCCGTGGTTATACAAGTAACATTCTTTTATTACTCTAAAGTAGCTGTTCACCTCGTTCACCTGTTTTTATTTTATATTGCTAAATAAGACACACATGAAGATGGGGGTTAGAATTTGTCTTTAGCAATACATGCTGGTTGTAAGAGGCAACCTTTAAACTGGATCATGTTGGCAGGCCTTCTAACTTGGTTAATTCAAGGCATTGGGTCCAGTTATGAAGATTGATGCTCATGATGTCAATCACTGGATTGCCTGATCCTCACTTGATTATTTACAGACTGATGTCATTTTTATAGCTGGATTGTTGTGGAGTGCAGCGTTCCAAAAGAACCAAGTAATCTAAATAAGAAATGTTTGTATCAATATGTAGTCTGACAATGGATTCACACAAATATAATGGAAACCTTTATGTAGACTTGCACAGGTCTCTAGGGCAAAAATAATTAGTTCAGGTTTCCCTCAAGGCCAAGGAAGCAGATAATGTGATAAACTTCCAATATATAAATAATATTCTTTATACCACAGGCCTATTCCAGATAAGCAACAGTACCCTGACACAGTCTATATTTACATTGAATATTCCAACCATGATATTCCAACACACCTGCTAATGATTGCAATGTCATGCTCCTTAAGAAATTTACAAATACAGTTTTCTCCTTTCTTTTGCAGTTGTTTCGCCATGGTGATCGGGCCCCCCTGGGAATCTACCCCAGAGACAAGTACAAGGAAAACTCCTGGCCAGTGGCATGGGGGATGCTGACGGACGTGAGTGTATCAGAATATTGCTGGATGTCTTGTGTTACTCAGAATGTATGTAAACTGTAACATTATTATTGTTTCTGTGTTCTACACAGTCTTTGTAAAGTTGACAATTATGTAATTTTGTGTATTTATCATTACGTTTTTAATCACCATCCATGTAATCAGCATGATCAGAGGTCACGAAATTCCTCAGGACAGTTCGATCAACAGAGGTCCAGTAGTTGGAGATGTCTGTCCCTGCTTGATAGTTAAGGTCTATCCCCAGGCAAGAGTGTCCACTCTCCTATACCAGAGTCTAGTTTGTACACGTGCCGCTTCAGTACTACTTTGTTTTGCTCAATCATGGAGCCATCTTTTGTAGAACAAGAGTTCTGCCCCTCGTGATGAAAACGAGATATCCAATCAGATTGCTGTTCTAATTTCGAAATGACTGCACAATGATGACTGCCATAGCAGATGACCTGGTCAATCAGATAAAGACAAACACAAATTTGACAACCACTTAGTTTGGGCACATTTATAACCAGTCGTGAAAAATCATCAATTTTTGTATTTTTGTTTGATTTGAGCCATTTCTGTTCAGAGCTTGAAACAAGTGTATCGTTGTTTGGTCCTGATAATATGAAACATGTTGTTACTTGCTGTTGGACCTATGACCTACACTTAGCTGGCCATTGTGGGCAGGGTTTGACATATAACAAGATGCCAAGCTGCCATCAGGACCCACAGACTTTGGAAGCTCCAGCCCCTGACTCAACTTTTTAAACTTATTGTGACAAATACATAGACGTGATAGACATGTACATTTACTACAGGTCGTAAGGACCCAAACAACTTTCAAACTAAGGGCCAGACATGAGATTTACTTGCCACGGGTCTACGGGGGGGCGCTTATATTGTAAGTCAGTAGATGCATGTATGTTATTTTCTTGTCTCAAAACCCTTTGACTGAGACTGAGTTCAAGCAGTCATCTGTTTAATTGGTATTACCGTATTCGACGTAATTAGCGCCCAGGGCGCTCTCAAAATTAGAAATAGGGGGCCCTTATTAGAATATTATTTTGGTGGAAAAAAAACGAATTGAAAGATAAATTTCTTGGTTTATGCTGACAGCCTGAAATGTTTATATACGACAGATATATTTTTCCAGAATTTAATTGCCCATAATTAAGGATGCATATAGCACACGAGTGCGTATTATATGCGAATAAATAAGTCTTGTGTACATTGATCAATCGGAAGGGGTGCTAATTTGGATTGTTCACTGGCCAATATATTAGCAAATATTGCCGTGGGCGCTTATTAGAGTGGGGCGCTTATTATGTCGAATACGGTACATATAATTGCCACCTTCATGGTGATGATGAGTGTTCTAATTATTGACCACTGGTTTGTGAGACTGGCTAATCACAGGCTGCTGTGATAGTTGTAAGACACTACTGGCACCCTCTTGTTTCAGATAGGAGCAGACCAATCTTTTCTCTTGGGCCGCTTCTTGAGGGACCACTATAAAGAGCTGAATGTTGGATCTCTGACAGATTCTCAGGTGAAGTGTCTGTCCCTGTGGTTGTATAACAAGCACTTGTATGGTCATTGTTTGCAGGGCCTCTGTAGTCTTGGGGAGAAATGAAGGACATACCAAGGGCAATAAACAATCTGTCAGTATTGTCATTAAATAGATCAAAGGTGAAGAAATATGATTTAGAAACCTAAATGTTTTTTCAATTGTGACCAAATTGTGACACTAGACAGGGAATTAAATTTGTTCATGACTATGTTTAAAAACCAAACATTCTAGCATTGTGATTGAATTCAAAGTTGTACATCTTGTTTGTGTCAGTAAAATAACAAAAATATTATTTTTGTAACAAATTGATGAAAGTATGAAGATAATTCTTCTAGTAAATACGTCAAATGAAAAATATGTCGGTATGACATGTAGCGCCCCATTAGGCTTAAAAAAATAACAGAATTGTTTTTTGAAAATATAGTGCGGGTGGGCAGGCAGTTTAGTTTTTTGATTGGTCAAACTAGTATGTAACCAAATAAACAGTTGTGTACAATCAACCTGGGGAAGGGCCTCCCCAAATTAATGTATTCCTTGATAAGTAAAATACTGGAATACAGTATTTGACTACCATTAGACTCCCAGTGCATACAATGAGCCTTGATTCTATGTCACAACAAGTAGTATAAGTAATGATGGTTCTGGACCACTTCCACTGGAGCCAGATTTATATACCTATACTGCTACTACAGAGGGAATTTTTTATGCAAAAATGATGATGTGATTCAAATGTCGTCATGATTCATATTAAAAGAAACATCAATATTATTTTTTTTACAACGAATGAAGTTCATCAGGCTGACCTCTTGTTTCTTCCCCATGATAAGGTAAGACGCAAAAGGTATAAATATGCTTTAACTGCAGTGGATGTGGCTAGTCGCTACAAAGAGGCTGAACCATTAACCTCGAAAGATTCAACAGAAGTAGCTAATGCACTGTGTCGCATATATAAACGCGGACCACTAAAAGGGCCTAAGCTATTTCAAGTAGATCCTGGTCGCGAGTTTATGGGATCAGTAACTAAACTGTTAACAAAGCACGATGTCGCAGTCAGGCATGATGAAAAAAAGGCCCACCGTAGTCAAGCTATCGTTGAAAGATTTAACCGGACATAAGCAGAATGTTTGTTTGGCTATCAGTATGGGATTGAAATGAAATCGGAACGATTGAGATCAACTGAATGGTGACACGATTATCAGCGCTGAATAATGAAGTAACGAGATTAATAGGGAAGAAACCATCCGATGACTTCTGTGACTTCTGAATCTTCTTAAAGATGGACCGGGCCGGGGATTTGTACAAGAAGAGTTGCTCATAGTTCCCAACGATACAGTATTACCACCATAACCATAAGCATAGGTAGTTACACCATCCTTATCAATCCATCTCTTTGTATCTAAGGGGGATAATGATGTCTTGTTCATTCTTAATCCATATATCCTGTGATTGACACTTCTTAAAGTGTTCATCTCGTGTTTGAATGTTCTACCATTGAATAATGCTTCTTTATACTGTTTGTGTTTGATATGTTTTTTTACTACATACTTCTTAACACCTTTAGCTTTTCTTACCTCCCCATTATTAGACTTCTTTATAGAATACATCTTAGGTCTTAATCCGACATACTCGGTAATAGGGGTCCCAGCACATTCATCCTTTATCTTACCTAACACCTTTTTATTTACTACACTGTGCAGTGGATTACTTTTGAGTAATTGCTCGTGTCGTACATATCTATGTTTTAGTCTGTTTTCAGTCGTACAAATGGGTATCTCTCATACCTCTAGTCGCACGTTTAAAAGGAAGCCAGAAGCTGGAATGTAAACATTAAACTTGTTTCCGTCCGGTTGCACACGCACCTCCCTATGACATGTCACAAATCTCTCAGCGCGCCTCTGACCGGTCGCTCGAGAAAGACTTTCGCGAAAGACTGCTAGTTTTTCTACTAGTACTTATCGTGTGTCTACAGTTGTTCTTCTAATACAGTAATAATAATATGTCTTACCTGTAGACTCCTAGAATGTAATCCTTGGTAATCCATTGTTTGTGTTCAACACGTGTTTCACTGTTTGACTTGTTTATACACGTGGCAACATGTCGGGCTTTTCTGCCTCGTGTCAAAGTATACTGTCTAAAGTAGATCCTCACAAGTATTGTCCTTCCTGCATAATAAAGGACGGATTTTCAACGTGTTTGTGGGATGAACGTTGTAAAGAATGTGAGCACTTTAATAAACTTTAATTGGTATCTTCGTGCGTTGGCGAAGCGTGCTACTGACCAGCGCTACTAGCAGAGTAGGTCATCGGGTGGATCCCTGGACTCTGCAGCCTCTACATCTGGCCCTGGGGGTGGCGCGTCGGCCACACCCAAGAAATCAGTTGATAAAGACCCGCCCCAGTCATCTTATGTTTTCGACAAGACACGTGACCATTCGCCTGCTGATGATACTACCCGCACGACTGATCTTCGTCAATCGTTTGATCGAGAGCGTCACTCAGCCACCCCCGTTCTGACGGGACTGGCTCGTGACGAGGACCATTAGGGGACTACTGTCCCCAGTCGGTCCGTCTCTCGTCCTACCAACGACGATAGGGATGTCGTGCAGGTAGACAGTGAACACAGATCCCACTCTACAAGTCGTTCCCGCCCCGGGACGACAGGTCGAGTGCCTCGTCGAGAGACAGTAAACGACACGAGGACATTCGTCGCCTTCGGGGTCGTTGGGAGTTCGATTCGGACGATAACTACGATGGGGATCGTAGTACTTCTACAGTTAGAGATCGTAGCCCTTGTCCCCACGGGGACGTGCGACGCTCTCGAAGGGAGTTTTTGGGAGATCAGCGTCGTAGAGATAATGATCGGTCGTCACCCTCGTCTCACTTTCATATCGACCCGGCTTTGATAGCCCAGATCACGATACTTGCCTCGACGGCGTCGACCAAGAAGGATTTGACTCCGTCGGAGGTCCATGGACCATCGACCAGTACACCAGTACATTGACCAGTATCGACGTCTACGATGGATTGTGACGACAGCCTGGCTATGGCTTGGCTATCTCACTTTTTTGCCTGAGTTATCAAAAGATGATGACAAACCGACGTGTGCTGGCTTTAAGGTCGGAGATACGCCGCAGTCTCTTCAGTATTCTCCTCCCGATGTCTTCAGAGCCATGGCTCACGATATGGACCAGAACTTTGCCTCTGCTCTGCCGGGGCAGAGTTTCAGGAAACCACCTGTTCGATCGCGTTACCCGATCTATGGCATGCCGTTTTCGTCACCCATGAGTAGGGACTTTCTGTTCGTCACCAGCTACAACCGCTTGCTATGCTGTCGACAGCGAGCCAGCAGGGGAGGTAGTGAGGTCCCTTCCCCCTCCGTCACCGTCGTTGGAGTCTACTACCTTTAGACGAGCTACCAGTAGGGGGGAGACTTCATTACACGGATCATAAGGACGGTCGTAGAATGGCTCCATAGGCAGGCGATCAGGGTCGCCTTCTACCTAGATGATGGGCTCCATGCTCACCAGTTCACAGAATCCCTTCAAGGAGAGTTAACGACAACCCTGAATCTACTACGGTACCTCGGGTGGATGGTCAACCTTCAAAAGTCGGGATCTACAGTACATCGGGATATGCTTCCAGACGGGAGTCAATCTGGTCAAGGTACCTCAAGACCGTTGGGACATGATTGTCAGCAGCGTTCCGAGACTTCTACATGCCCCGGTGTCGGTGCACACGTGGCAGGAAGTCCTCGGTCTGTTGACATCGGCTCAAGACCTGATTCGCCGAGGTCGTCTTCAACTTCGTCCGCTGCAGAGATTGCTGTACCCCCACCTGGAGTTTCCCAACCTCCTGGTTCCACTTCCAGCGCAGCTATGTTGTCATCTGGAGTGATGGCTCCAGCCGTCGAACGCTTGTGACGGCGTCTTTATGAGCGAGCCTCCGTTCATACTACACCTATTCGTAGACGCGTCATTGGAAGGCTGGGGAGCCCATTTCGAGGACGACCAAGCGGCCGGGCTGAGGTCGCCAGAAGAAAAGGTCCTCCACATCAACTGCCTCGAGATGGAAGCAGTGATTCGGGCGGTCGTGTTCTGGAAACTTCGACTCCGTCGGAAACGGCTGATGATACAGTCAGACAACTCCACAGTTGTCCACTGCATCAACAAACAGGGGACGGCTCGGTCGGCGGCCCTTCTGGGTCAAAAGATGTTCACAGATGGTACTTGTTGTTACCCTGTCTGGCGCTCGGCATTAAGGGGCTAAAACAAGGACTGGTCGGCTCGGACAACTAGCCGACGCCCTGTTGAGACCATCGAGGCCGTCTCCCATGGAGTGGATGATCCATCCGACAGTCTTTTCATCTGCTGACAGATGGACTGGTTGCCCCAAGTAGATCTCTTCGCAACCCGGTACAACAACCGCCTACCTCGATTTGTGTCGCCGGTTCCAGACCCACGGGCATGGGACCACGACGCTCTAGCGATGTCGTGGGAGGGTCTAGACGCTTAAGCGTTTCCGCCAACGGCGCTGTTACCATCGATACTGGAGAGAGTTCGTCAAACAGCAAACCTACGTCTGCTTTGGTCGCGACTTATTGGCCGGTCAGAACGTGGTTCACGGAACATCTTCAGATCATCGATCAGCCACCGTTCCCGTTGCCAGATCGAGACGACCTCTACTTCATCCTTACAACGATCACTCCAGTCATCTCGGCATCTGAAAGGGTCGACGATCTCGACTTATCTGGCAGCTTTGCCTTCCGTGGTGCCGTCTCCTACGGGCGACAGGCTCACTAAAATACCAGAGTTGCAGAAAATTCTACGTGCCTTCATGGTTGAAGATCAGTCACATTAATTCCGACTGCCGGCCTGGGACCTCGATATCGTTCTGCGCACCCTGTCTCGTCAGACTTACGAGCCTCTCGATCAGGTTGCGTTTGACATTGTCTCAGAAAACGGCTTTCCTTCTCTCGCTGGT